ATTATTATTTACATTAAAAATTTTATTATTAAATATGTTAGAGTTTAATAGTATTATAATGATATTTCTTTATTTATTTGTTTAATTTTTATAATTTGATTAAATAATAATAATTATTATTAATATTTACAGTAAAAGTTTTATTATTAAATATGTTAGAGTTTAATAGTGTTATAATGATATTTATCATTTGTAAGTCGCTTTGGATAAAAGCGTCTAATAAATGACTAAATAAAGAAATAAAATAAATAAATAAAAATATACATTAACATTAAATACTTTTTACGTTTTATAGTATTATAGTGATTTCTTTATTGATTGAATTTTTATAATGTGACTAAATAATAATAATAATAATAAATTGCAATTAGATGTCTTTAACCAATTTGCTCTGCCTGTTTTCTAATTAATTAATGCACAAACAATTTTTATGGGCAGTAAGGTCACTGGTGATTGGCAGGCGTGACTGTTTAGTTTTAGTTCCTGCTCCCAATAATCTGGTTTTCATGACTCTTCTGAGTGTATTGTCCAGTAATGACACACAGTGTGTTTCAGCAAACACTCACCCAGCTGCATGGCGGAGCGCGCCTGGTTGACCGTCTGCTGGCTGCACAAGCGCAGGCAGTTCTTCAGATGCAGCTGCGGAGACGACGGGCTGCTCAGCGGCGTGCTGGAGCGGGACGCAGACGCAGACGCCAGCAGGACCGGACTGGAGGGACCCGCGGAGCCCGGAGATCCAGGAGCCGCTCCAGAGAGACACGAGCGCGTCTGACCGACGGCGAACGGAGCCCTGCAGAAACACACACACACACACAGTTATACACACACACAGACACACACACACACTCTCTCACACACACACACACACACACTCTCACACGCTCACACACACACACTCTCACACACACACACAGTTATACACACACACAGACACACACACACACTCTCTCACACACACACACACACACACTCTCACACGCTCACACACACACACTCTCACACACACACACAGTTATACACACACACAGACACACACACACACTCTCTCACACACACACACACACACACTCTCACACGCTCACACACACACACTCTCACACACACACACAGTTATACACACACACAGACACACACACACACTCTCTCACACACACACACACACACACTCTCACACGCTCACACACACACACTCTCACACACACACACACACACACACTCTCACACGCTCACACACACACACTCTCACACACACACACTCGCAGTCAGCGACCGGAGCTCTACAGACTCACGTCAAACGCAGGATCACAGTGATTAGAAACACAGGAATCACGACCGAACGAGACATTCACATTATTTCAGCACAACAACTGCAGGTTAAGCATCTAATGCTGCGCTTCTCAACATTTTCCACTTTATTTCTGCTGTAATGACAAATCTGCTCTTTTACAAACGCCAATATATTATAAAATAAATGTGAATAAAATTACAAATAATTCACATTAAATTCCATAATTCCTGAAGTTTTTTTTATTATCAATGAATTTAACTGACTTTTCTAGATGTTTTTTTTTTTTTCATTTTCAGTGTGTGTGT